ACCCTGTGTTTCATCCGGGCCGAGATTTATCCGTCAGTCGACTCCTGTGTTTCATAAGGGGGCCATAATCTAGGCTAGACCCTTCCCCGTGTATCATCCGTGTCAATATTTGTGCCGTTAATAACCTCTTCTATGGTCTGGACCATGAGCTGTGCCACCGGCGACGACCCCGTATACCTGCATGGCCACGATCTGTGCCACAGACGACGACCCCGTATACCTGCATGGCCACGATCTGTGCCACAGACGACGACCCCGTATACCTGCATGGCCACGATCTGTGCCACAGACGACGACCACGTATACCTGCATGGCCACGATCTGTGCCACAGACGACGACCACGTATACCTGCATGGCCACGATCTGTGCCACAGACGACGACCACGTATACCTGCATGGCCACGATCTGTGCCACAGACGACGACCACGTATACCTGCATGGCCACGATCTGTGCCACAGACGACTCCGAGTGCCACCGGCGCCACAGAACACCGCTGGCGGACGTGTCGTCGTTAAGAGTTTGTGTTTCGTCAATATTGACTGAAGTGGGAACCAAACTCGCCATGTTCCCTCGAATGGGTCAATAATATTTTCTGGAAAGCGTTTCCTTCACCCCCATTGGCTGTGACCTATGACCTGACACGACATTGCTAATCTTCCAATTTATCTTGACCTTTGACCAAGCACAGCGATGACCTCAGCCTCCATCATGAGTGTCCTGGGTTCAACACTGGACTCAGTTAGGGGAACCGAAGCAAGATCGTGAAGATTTAAAGGAATATAATGGGAGAAATAAATGCTATTATGCAAGTTTTTATCTGTTGCGCGTTTGTGCAGAACGGCACTCACTTATTCACGAGCATTTCACTCGCTCTCTCATTCAGGGTCATTCACCTACTTATTCACTTAAGCAATCAGACAGCGAATTTGCTGTTTCACTATTCTTTCACCTGCTGGCTTTCCCATCAATTTTCTCACTCACTCACTTCCTTACTCGCCCACTCACTCACTCACGTTTTCCTCCACCTATTTGATTTACTCACTCCTTCACTCCCAATTTGCCTCTCTACATTTCTCCTCTTCTACCTATCCCCCCTTATTCTCCTCCTCCTCCTCCTCCTCCTCCCTCCCCTCGAATACTATACAACCATATTGACAATTTATGGACAAGCGAACATGTCTGTCTGTCCACAGATCTCCCCCTCGTCAGTCATCCAGCTGCCATGATGGATGCTGGATCTGACATCTCATTTTTATCTCCCGTGTCTCTAGGCTGAGGTAACACACAATGACCTAAATAAACGACCTTGTCATTCCCTCAACAGCATCATCATTAATATCTTGAGGGAGAGGGTGAGGGAAGAGGGAGAGAGGGCTCAGGGAGAGGAAGAGGGGAAGTTTAGGAGGGAACTGAGGGATAATTGATGATAATGGAGTGAAAGCAGCACAGGAGAGAGAGAGAGAGAGAGAGAGAGAGAGAGAGAGAGAGAGAGAGAGAGAGAGAGAGAGAGAGAGAGAGAGAGAGAGAGAGAGAGAGAGAGAGAGAGAAATATATAGTATGGTGGTATAGGCAAAACTCTACAAAAAACTGTCCTTGGAAACTTATATGTTAGTAAGATATAGTGATTCACTCTAACACTGCCGCGCACAAACGAACATTACAGACTCGATAGATAAATGAAAACAAAGCTTGGAAGTTAAATGCACAGAAAGAAGTGAGATTTAATGTCATGTAATAAATGAAGATGGCACTACAAACAAAGCAAACGATCTTAAGGAATGGACACAAGAGGAGAATCTGCACGGACCTTCAGAAGTCAAGAGTCACAACAAATTTAATGCTCTCTCAGGCTAGTAATCCAAGCTAGTAATCCAAGGCTGTGAGAGGTTCATTGACGGCCTAACAACCACATCAACAATAGCAACGTCCAAGATAATAGTAATCTTTCACAAAAATTATAGAAAATCCAGAATGCAGTCCACTGAACATTCAAGCAGCTATAACTGCATATAAGAATGGACTCATGACTGAGTCATGGAGTCAAGTGGAGTTATATAATAGTATTAATTTAAATAAAGCACTTTGAAAACAAAAATTAGAAAATAGCAACAATCACTTGGCCTGTTAGACTAAATCGGGGTCTTGAATACTAGGCCAAGTAGTGCGTTCTATTTGGGGAGAGAGAGAGAGAGAGAGAGTGAAAGAGAGAGAGAGAGAGAGAGAGACCGAGATAGAGACAGAGACAGAGAGACAGACAGACAGGCAGACCAGACACACACACACACACACACACACACACACACACACACACACACACACACACACACACACACATACACCCACACACACACACACACACACACACACACACACACACACACACACACACACACACACACACACACACACACACACACACACACACACACACACACACACTCACACTCACAGACAAACCACTTATATTCACCATATCTCCCATAAACACTCAAATCCACTTCACATCTACATCCAGCTACTCACATACCGCATCTACACCCTCCTTCCTGCACCCTACACAAAAATAAATCTCCCAAACACACACACACACTCACACACACACATTCACCAACCATAATGACAAACACACACATTTGATAATGATCAATAACAAGGGCAGTAACGGCGGCCGTAAATCCCCCAACACGACCATCTCGTCTCCAGGATGTCATATTCCCGCCCCTCTCAGCTCTTAGCGCAGATAAATACACAGAATTGATGACGGTTTGGCTATACCCCTCCACCCCCCATCCCTGTCCCTTCTCTCTACCTTTCACCCTCTTCTGATGCCACTCTACTCCCTACTAATTCTGTCTTTCCCCCCTTTTGTCTTTCCCTTCTTTTCACTTTATTATTGTTATTATTATTCTCGAATTGTTCTGGTTTTCTACAAGTTTCTGTTTAGAGTTTAATTTGATCTTTGAAAGCGAGAACTGATTTTTTTCTGTGCAGTTGTCTGCAGTAATGAGAGGTCTTTACTTTTAATCAAAATTATTGTATATTATTAACCATTTTTTAAATGTTATAATCTCAGCATTTTTTAGTTACCAGCCTATCATCAAAATGTATTCTACATTTTGAGTATTTCAGATGGTAAAAATTTGAAAATTGCTGAATTCCTGGAGATCGATCCTTCATCAGGTTGTCACACATTGCATCTCTTGGTTAATAGTTTGTTCTTGAGGAAAGGACTTCTTGAGAAGGATAATGGCAGACTGCATTATGTTAACTTTGAAGAATACAGACACACGCCTCACCACATCCCTGTGTTGTGGAGTCCGGATGTACTGCATTGAGTCAAGTACATCATCTTTGCTCCTCCCTAGATGCTCAAACACATTTTGAATTTTGTCAAACAACCTTAGCTAAGACTATGGATATAAATCCCAAATTGGTAATGTGTACTTCATTATGGATCTGATTTGGGAGTTTCAAAATGTTATGCATCCATTAACATCTGTCTTCTGTAGACAAGCAAGTTACCGATCGCATTTGGCTGCATCATTTTTCATTGTGTCTTTGGAAGGACAGATTTGTTCATGAATTTTCACTCCTAATTTGGCAATTAATGGATTGTGTTCAGTGTTTTCTTGTATGATGATGGGCAGTGAGATACCCATCATCTGTGTTTTATATGCAATTCATCATCTTTCTTGCTCTAATTTATTAATTTTTCTGCATTTTATCCTATTTTCTGAACAATTAAAAACAATTTATGTAGCCTTTACTCCCTTCCTTCCCTCATTCCTCATTTATATTTATCTTTCTTTTCCCTTCACCTCTTTCCCTTTTTTTGCCTTCCGTCTCTCTCTCTCTCTCTCTCTCTCTCTCTCTCTCTCTCTCTCTCTCTCTCTCTCTCTCTCTCTCTCTCTCTCTCTCTCATACCCTCCCTCCCTACCTCTTCGAATTTACACGCTCCCTTTATCCCTCCCTCTCCATATCCGTGTTAGTGTTTCTGTTATTGATTTTAGGGAGGCTATAAAACAGGGAGAGCCAGGGTGCTTATTACTGGATGGGGCGATAACACGACCACGGAAAGAGGGGAGAGGGAATAGAGGGGAGAGGGCAACGAGAGGGGAGTGATTGTAGGGGCGGAGGGATGCAAGGGAGGTCAGGCAAGTGTGAAGGTCGTGTGTTTCGGTAGAGGCTAATGAATGGCAGGGTTGGAGTAGCGTAGGGGAGTTACAAGGCTAAATTTACGATATCTCTCTCTCTCTCTCTTTCTCTCTCTCTCTCTCTCTCTCTCTCTCTCTCTCTCTCTCTCTCTCTCTCTCTCTCTCTCTCTCTCTCTCTCTCTCTCTCTCTCTCTCTCTCTCTCTCTCTCGCTCTCTCACACACAAGCTCACAATCACGGCCGGAACATAAATGATTTGCACAACGTTTCCTTTCACCTGATGTCGCTGTTCACCTAGCAGTATAATAAGGATTTGGAAGTCTGACATCTGTTGTGTTGCTGCCAAAGGAGAGTCAGCAGTTGGCCTAGTAATCAACCAACGGGTGGAAAGGCGGGCTTCAAGAGCTGAAAGCTCGATCCTTCAGGCTTTAATTGGTGAATACAAAGGGGTGATTACACTGAAACAGAAATAAAACCAACAATAACATTTCCCACTAAACCCTCTTGAGGTTATCTTGAGATGATTTCGGGGCTTTTTTTTAGTGTCCCCGCGGCCCGGTCCTCGACCAGGCCTCCACCCCCAGGAAGCAGCCCGTGACAGCTGACTAGCACCCAGGTACCTATTTTACTGCCCTACTCTATGCCTTAAAAACATAAACAAAGATCAGCTGACCAAGAATGCAAACAAACCAAAGCTGACCCAGAACATAAACAATGATCAGCTGACCCAGAACATAAACAATGATCAGCTGACCCAGAAAATAAACAAAGATCAGCTGACCCAAAACATAAACAAAGATCAACTGACTCAACAACATTAACAATGATCAACTGATCGACTCACCGACAACTACGAGGCTGTAATACTTCCTGAGGCTGGTTCCAGTGTTGAGGGAACACATGTACGTTCCCGCGTCTTTCATGTTAACGTTCTTGATGGTGAGAATCCAAGCTTCCTCCCCGTCCAACGTTAGCGAGTGGTGAACGGTGATGCGAGGATTTTCTGTGAAAACATCATCTCCCATGGCGAAAACGATGCCCTTTTTCATCTCCAGCCACGCAGTCTGTGTAAAGTAAGGGAGAATAAGACACAGGTGGTGATAATGAGATGAAGAAATCAATAGTGAGATACTGAGAGTGCGATTTAAAGATAGATTGAAAAAAAATTTCAGGAAAAATGAAGGGGAGACCGTTGACAAGCCTCCAGCTTCCAGTCCCCGTCAAGGCCACTAGATAGATGATTGATTTTAGGGAAATTCAGACGTATTTAGATAAAAAAAATTTAATGGGGAAATTGACTTAAAAGTGGCCAGAAGCGAATTGAGTGGGTGAAACGCAGGAGTGACTCTAGAAGATGGTTACATAACGTTACACTTACACATAGCATACACACACTCTCTCTCTCTCTCTCTCTCTCTCTCTCTCTCTCTCTCTCTCTCTCTCTCTCTCTCTCTCTCTCTCTCTCTCTCTCTCTCTCTCTCTCTCTCTCTCTTTAAACCAGAAACTGCACAATTTTACGGCTCACACTCTATACGAAACTGGTCATGTTGGTTGAGTAATAATATAGTGTACAGGGGGGCCCGCATTAGCATCGTGGCGACACACATATACCTAAACTTTCAAGGAAGGTTTAGGTATATATGAGTACGTTTATACTCTTCAACGACCGCAGTAAAAAAATAATTAAAGCTTTATTTTTATTTTATCTCAAAATTAATTAACGCTTATATTTTATTATATCCGGGAAACATGAATTTTATTTATTGCAATAGACCATATTTTAAAATTCAAATTCAAAGTAGCCATAGGCCCCAACATTTTTGTTGGAGGATAGATTGCATTATAGACTGCAAGATAGACTGCATGATAGGCTACAGAATAGGTTGCACGATAGGTTGTTGTATTATGTTAGTTTGGGGGGTTTGGCCAAAATGTGACCCACCGCTGCTTTCAGTAATTGGCATATTTTCGATATAAAAAGTAGGAATTTCAAACTGCGAATACGTGCAGAGAGCCAGAATTTGGCTCCAAAATATGGCTCGGGTATCGGATTTGGGATGTTTGGGATATTTTGAAAACTGCAGGGGGGTTTGGGCAAAATGTGACCCACTGCCGCTTTCAGTAACTGGCATATATTCGATATAAAAAGTCGGAATTTCAAACTGCGAATAAGTGCAGAGAGCCAGAATTTGGCTCCAAAATATGGTTCAGGTATCGGATTTGGGATGTTTGGGATATTTTGAAAACTGCAGGGGGGTTTGGGCAAAATGTGACCCACCGCTGCTTTCAGTAATTGGCACATTTTCGATATAAAAAGTCGGAATTTCAAACTGCGAATATGTGCAGAAAGCCAGAATTTGGATCCAAAATATGGCTCAGGTATCGATAACGATCATTTACTAGATAACGATCGACCTCATCATTTATTTGCAAAATCTTCAACCACTTGGACTGGTCAGTACAGAGACGTCCTCACTTGTTGCAGGACGGTATTCGATCCCTATTGACCCAAGTGGTTGATTACCATTCCTTCCCTCAGTCTTGTCCCAGCTGCTTGTCTTCATATCCCTTACAAGTGCAGACTTAGAAGGGATGTCATATCACTCCAAGTCGTACGGCCCTGTTAGTGCTTTCTCATAATTACCCACGCTATACAAACTACTCACGTATTAAACCTATCTCCTGAGTTACTTATTTGAGCTAATGTTCTTTTAGATCGATTCCATACTCAGGAACATTCTTTGGAAACAGATTTTCACCGATTTCCTGAATATGGGAATAGTTGTACTCTGAAGTATCAGCATTTGGAATGTGAACTTCTCGACGTTGGTTTTATTCTCTATGTTAGGGAGTCATTCAGTCCATGTAATAGACTTACATGGACTGAAGTCATTGATCCCAGAGCCCGGTGCTGGGTGATGCTGGAAAATCTCTGTACAAGGAACTAGCAATAAGATGATAAATCTATCAGAAAATCATTGAAGTAGAACGAAAATCGAATCTGGATACTTCCAGACATTATTAATAGTAGTAATAGTAGTAATTATTATTTCTGATTATCATTAATTAGTAATTATTGTTATTATTATTATTAATATTATTATTATTAATGTTATTATTATTATTATTATTATTATTATAATTATTATTATTGGTATTACTATATTTTATTAAGGCAGTATTATTGCCCCGATTTTTAATCAATATTCATGAATCTGGACCCGATGGTAATTGAGTCATTATGCATGCATCACTATCTAAAGTATTTCATTAATTTCGATATATTTATGGAATTACGCAACCAATTTGACTCCAATATTTAATGTTTTAATGATATTTCATTCGACAATTTGTATACCTGTTTCAACTACGGAATGTACAGAAGTACAAAGTGGATATCAGATTTGTCAATAAAGTCTAATATCTACTTTCTCTCAGTACTTTTTTTTCTAACTAGAGGGCTATTGAGACCATAAGAGTTTACTGAACAACCAGCACGAAGACCTTAGTCCGGGTACAAATTTCTAAGTTTGTTTTGAGCTTTGTACCCGGTTCAAAGTTCCGGTTTGGTTTTATTGTAATCCTTAAGGCCTTCCACCCTCTAGAGAAGATTAGTAAAGGCACCTCAATTGTATACTGACTAATCCTTCAGTATACAACTCTTGCCCTAACATAGTAGAGGATTAATGCAAACTCTCAGTGTATATTCACCTAGAAGATTGGTTCGTATATATATATATATATATATATATATATATATATATATATATATATATATATATATATATATATATATATATATATATATATATATATATATATATATATATATATATATATATATATATATATCCCTAATATTAGACGAGACTTATCTACATTCCCTAGCTATTTTCTGGCTAGTTGTGAAAATAATCAACTGGGAAAATATTATGTTAAGAATTTTAGCCACATTTTTTTTCTCATTGTAACGCACACTATTATGGCAATAAACTGTATTCAAGAGACAGTATTACCATCAGAGACTCGTGTAAACTTAATGGGTATCATTTATAACCAGCAACATGAGTTGTAAATAGTGCCCACTAAGTACACTCTTCACAGGTGGCTGACTGTGTGTTTTACCTATACACACTGCGCACTCTAGGGTACATTAAGTTAGATTTATTTTGGGTGATATTAGGGAGGTTAGTTAGGGTTGGCTGGGATATATTAGGAGTCATGTCTAGTTATCTCATTTCCAATTGGGTCATAACTAAAACTAATGAACCTAACCTAATCTCACCTTCACGTTCTCAGGCTGTAAATAACATGTTCAAAATAGCCGGACTATTTACAAAACATGACTCACTTTGTTATAGGTGAGGACATGAATTTAATTAAAAAACATGATTCACTTTTTCAAACATGTGAAAAAGCCATTCTGTCCTAGAGCACAATAGTCTACGTCCTCGTTTTACAATCAATGATCCAGGGCTCAATCAGTACAAAAACTGTTTTATTTTCTTTCACCTGATGCGACTGTTCATCTCGCAATAAAAAATTTACTCAGGAGTTAGGCACCTATTTTGAGTAGCATCGTTTGGAAGGTCAGTAGCTAGCCTGAATACAGGCTTCTTGATCCCAGCGTCGGGAGTTTTTTTTTTTTTTGTTAATTTGATCCAAGTATCAATTTGAGTTCAAATCCAATTATATTCAATTAGGAAAAGGCAGTTGGTATATATTTACAGTTAATTACCTTTCTAAAATCATCAAATCTGACATGTTATGTAATATATACATGTATAAACACATTTGTTGTATATATGTGGAGATATATCTCGTTGTGTACACATATGCAGACCGAAGTTGTATTATGTATTTTCAGTACATATGTGATGTGTTGTACGAGGGTATCAATGCATGTTTTGTAATGTACACATGTGTAGGAAACCTGTTTGGTAAGCAAATACATCCCTCCAGACTTTCATCTAACTGTTACATAAGCAATGAACATCGACCTTGGCACATTCCACCCTGTTCATACCATCACCGTGTACCTGGCTGAAGTGTGAGTCCCTCACTACACGTCATAGGGACGTGAGTCTCAGTGTTCAGCGTCACACCTTTGAACTCCTTCTGTTCATTTCTGAACCATAGTGAACAAATACAAGGCCTTTTGAATCGTCGCCTCATAGACAAAATTTATATTAATTCTTTACATGAGAGAATGTAGTATTTTGGGCTGGATTTTAACTATTTTGGATGATCACTACTATAGCAAATTTTCTCAATTTGTTTTCAAATAGTCTTACTAAAATATTCAGAATAACTCAGAAAAATCTGGGTTCTTAGGGAACCCCATGGGACTAGGAGGATAGATTTCAATTCCTCACTCCTGCAACGAATGATAATTGTGCAAGTGTATACATTTATACATCTATACATTTAGTTTCCCATTGTAGGAGACAAGAGACGTATTCAGGCTAATCAAGAACCCAACTACTGACCTACCATGGGATCTAACCCCTCAACAGTTGCCTAACTTTCGAGTACGTATTTACTGCAAGTGAACAGCGACATCAGGTGAAAGAAAACGTGATCGAACGTCTCGTCTTGCTCGGGAATCGAACTCGCGACCTCTCTGTATCCTAGAGTCTGTGACTAATCAGACTATTTCTTGCCAATACATATTTGTTTTTAGTTTACTTTTATGCGTATTTCATTTTATATCTTAAATAAAAGAGCGAAAATAATCGATAATTGTATTTATCATTCTAACAGATAACATTATGTGATACTACTACTATTACTACTACTACTATTAATAATAATAATAATAATATAAATTATTAATAATATTTAAAATATTAACTCTGTAAAGTAAAATATTAATAATTTTAGTTAATATATAACTAAAATATTAACTAAAATATTTTAAATATTTAACTCTGAATACGTATTCAGAGATATATGGCAAGTTTTTCTCTGAATGCTCTGTGTTCCCTTCTCTGAGGCTGTGGGTCCCTATAATTGCACCAGATATATATATAAAATTATGTAAATAATATAATCAGTATTATATATATTTAACATTATCAAAATAATCTTAATTTTTATTATCATGATAATTATACTTAATCCTAATAAATTTTACACTTTTTTATTATTATAATTTGTAATCCAAATTATTATAATATGAATTATCATCCTGTTTATTATAATTAGTTATTATAATATGTTATATAATTTATGATACTCATAATTAGTATTTTAAATATGATAAAAATAATTAGAATGTATCACAAAAATGATATATTATAATTATAAATAATTATCTTACTTTTCAAAATATATAATTTTCGTCATAATTACAGCCTTAACTCGTTGCTTCAGCATGACTCGTTAGTCGATGTTAATCGGGTCATTATATATTCATAACAATTTAGAGGACTCATTCATTTTTATTTAGGCAACTTACTTTCAAAATCTGTGCGCCAATATTTTCTTCCTGAAAAGTGTCAATCTGCCATTTTAACTATGTTAAAAAATATATATAATAATTATGTATATATGTGTTTGTGTGTGTGTGTGTGTGTCGATTGTGTAGCTTCATTATTGGTAATATATGTTGTTGTGTAGGTAATTCATGACATAAAGAAGACGATGAGCCACACTAACGTGGCTGAAGATATGTAGACCAAACCACACACTAGAAAGTGAAGAGGCGACGACGTTTCGGTTCGTCGTGGATCATTACCACACTCAACTTGATGATGGTCCAGGACGGACCGAAACGTCGTCGTCTCCTCATCTTCTGGTGTGTGATGTGATCATCATATTCATGACAAAAGCTGGTCGAGTCGTGACACCACTTAAGCTGGTCGAGTCGTGACACCACTTAAGCTGGTCGAGTCGTGACACCACTTAAGCTGGTCGAGTCGTGACACCACTTAAGCTGGTCGAGTCGTGACACCACTTACACCCAACAGTCTCGGTTTAAGCTCGGTTAGATATATTACAGAACATTATAAGTTAAATATACAACACTTCATCCCAGAGACGCTACAGAACTCTGCATTAGGATGTGTACCAGAGTAGACTTCCAACACTAACTACACACAGGTAAAATTGGGTATTCACAAACCGCCTTTGAGCGCTGCAACTTTGCAAATTCCTCGATCCTTTAAGCAACCTTAGGGCTTAAGGGATTACGATCTTCCCCAATATGCTTAGCTGGATCTATCTGTTCTTTTACCTGAACTAGTGAACGGAGGAGAAGCCAAAGTTGTAATATTTAATACAGTTGCGTGTTTAATAGAGTGTATATTAATGTTTAGACACGACGGGAAATTCAAATTCCTACTGACACACACACATGTGCACTCAGACGCACACACACACACACACACACGCGCGTAAACGCATACGATCACACAAAGACACATACAACACACTTAAACACACATGCACACACACACACACACACACACACACACACACACACACACACACACACACACACACACACACACACACACACACACACACACACACACACGCACGCGCGCATCATCAACCACATACCACTCAACCATACACAGCCACACACGCCAGCAACTGTCCAACCTCACAGCCACACACAGACATTGACCAGGGCAAGCGTCCAAGCAGGGAGCCATTCTTGCAGACACAAGCAAGGAGCCATCCTTGTAGACACAAGCAGGGAGCCATCCTTGTAGACACAAGCAGGGAGCCATCCTTGCAGACACAAGCAGGGAGCCATCCTTTCAGACACAAGCAAGGAGCCATCCTTGTAGACACAAGCAAGGAGCCATCCTTGTAGACACAAGCAGGGAGCCATCCTTGTAGACACAAGCAAGGAGCCATCCTTGTAGACACAAGCAGGGAGCCATCCTTGCAGACACAAGCAGGGAGCCACACCCACCTGGTAATGCATGATGTTATGGACGGTACATCTGAAGACGGCGTCTCTTCCCACGGCTGCTTTCACCTCCAACTCGTCTTGTGAGCCGAAACTTGGCAGCTCCTCTGAAGACATCGGCGAAGTCAGGGGGAGAGAGAGAGAAACCAGACGTTAAAAGACATGTGTGTGTGTGGTGCTGCTGTGTGGTGGAGGTGTTGTGTGGTGGTGGTGCTGTGTGGTGGAGGTGTTGTATGGAAGAGATGAGTTGTGGTGGTGATGTGAAGACAATACCGTGTCCACAACATTTGTGAAAGCACATTACATGTTCCAGGTGATAGAGACGAAGGCGACGGAGTAAGAGAAGTCGTGTGGTGTAATACTGAGTGTTGGTCACAGAGAAGGACACAGTAGAGGGACACACAGGGGGGGCGGGACACACAGGGGGAGAGGGGGACGCAGTAGGGGACACACAGGTCTCCCACTCGCTACAGCAGGCATAATGCGGGGCTGTGTTACAAACGTATCACAAATCAGATTATAAATAATACATTGTGATCCCATTTTTATCCCCTACAACACTCAACCACACACACTCCAGCCTCTTTGTTTATGTAGTGTTTGGTCATCCCTCCTCTCCCCCTCAGCTCTCCCTCAACCCTTTGTCTATCCTGCCCTCTTCTTTCACCCCTTTCAACACCTCTACTGGGTAACAAGTCACCTATCCCTGCTAACTCGCATCCACTCAAATCCTTCATATCTCTTAATGTCATACTCGATAGCAGATCTCACTATGTTCCTAGCTATCTTTTCCAGCATTTTCCAGACTCCGTCTCTTCTCCCTAGTCCGCAGCATCCCTTCCTCTCTCTCTCTCTCTCTCTCTCTCTCTCTCTCTCTCTCTCTCTCTCTCTCTCTCTCTCTCTCTCTCTCTCTCTCTCTCTCTCTCTCTCTCTCTTATCGCATCTACACTTCGCTCGTTCTCTCCATGTCTTAAACTCCTATTTCCCTTTCTCCTCTGGCCTTTCCCTCCATCTCTCTCCGCATTCATATTTTCCTATCACATTTCTTCCACTGTCCCCTATCTCTGCATCCCTCCTTGTGTCTCTCTCTCTTTCTCTCCTTTTCTCCTTCCCTCCGTTTTTCAACTAATGTGAAATTCCCTCAAACACATAAACGGATTACACATCACAAATAAAGACTGATTTAGACAATATCCCGCTTGACTCCCACCTCACCTTGAGTGGCAGGACCACCACCACCATGCACTCAAACGCACGCACTCAAACTAACAAACCCAAGCGAACACCTCAAGCGCAAACACTCAAGCGCGCGGAGACACACACACAAACATTAATTCATGGAGAAGCGACTTTGCCGAAAAGGAGAGATCCGGATGAACTAAAATACGGTGTGACATGCGGATTGTGTAATACCCCGTTGGTGAGACTAGGATAGGATACAGAGAGAGAGAGAGAGAGAGAGAGAGAGAGAGAGAGAGAGAGAGAGAGAGAGAGAGAGAGAGAGAGAGAGAGAGAGAGAGAGAGAGAGAGAGAGAGAGAGACTGTGTTTGTGGAGAGGAGGGACCGGTGGGAGTGAAAGCGGCATGGAGGCAGTAAATAAGGTCGTCCACACCGGGTTATTGCCACGGTAAATGTGCACGGATTACGGTGGACGGCTGCTGCTGTTGCATCAGTCACCTCTGCCACAAGCGTGCAAGCACGGGACTGAATCAAGTCAGAGGCACGCAAGGCGAAGGACTGAAATCATTTGCCTGCATTTGAATGAAAGATGAATGAACGAAGCTTGTTGCTTATATTATCAAGGCGTGACTTTGCATGGTGGTTACAATTGGTGATTGTATAATTAGTGAGTATAACATAGAACGTGAATGGAAAATGAAGCCATGAGAGTAGGTGAGAAGAGTCGAACGAGATGAAAGCACTGACAAGCACATACGTGGATGGAAATAGCTAAAAAAGATACTGGATAAAGGTGAAACATAGACAGGGAACTACGAATAGCACACAGACAAATCTACCTTTTATTATATACTGTCGTGTGAAAACATTGGCAGGGACGTTCTCGAATTTAGCAGTACAGTGTTGACATCGATAGCAAGAGCGTGGCGGTGATGTAATCGAGATCTGTCGTATGGTATTGGAGGAAAATGAAAGAGTAAAGTGTTTCAGTGGGAAGGAGAGGTTCAGTATGGCTATACAGAGTAAATAGCTGACCGATTCTTTGTCACTTGCTGACCAACTTTTATCAGTACTTGATTATCTCTTGTTAACAGTTGACCGTCGCTAGACAGTAGCTAACCATTTCTAATCAGCAGCTGGCTGGCTCTTGCCTGCACCTCTTTTCAAAACGGTGACAATCTCTTGTCAGTATTAACCATGTCTTGTTAGTAGTATTATAATACAGTAATCCATCATAACATACTCAGCCTTCTGTGATAGATCTACCCACCACCAGCATGAAGGACTCCCAGGAAATATTTTATTCACATTAGGATGTAAAAACGTATGTAATAAGGTTCATACTAGGATGCACCTGCAATTTCAAGTCAAACAAAATGTCACCTATTGGAGCACAGACGAGGTTTTATAGGTCACGTAGCCTGACGTATACAATGAGAGGAGATCTATGACAATCATGCGTCAGTAAAACCGCCCATTATTGGACCACAGTACGTCATTTGTTTGTCTTGTGTCACGGAGTGAGAGCACTCGACCTCGAAATTCTGCGAATACTTGAACCTTTGCTTAGTTGAAGCAAAGAAGGTGTTTGCTAAAACCATATGCCAGACTGATCCTTAGATTTGAGTAACAGCGACTTCTTTCTGAAACAGGAATAGTAAAGGACCCCTTTCTAAGTGGGTCAAGCATTTACAGCATTGTGGCTCGAACAAAAGTCATCAGCGAAGCACTTGTTCCGGAAGTGTTCTGACGTCATCAGTTGTGAGTGGTATGTAAACAGTTCTTCATTCATAAACAGAGGGTTTGGTGGGTGCATGGAATTTACTTTGCTCTTTGTTGATGAGGACGGGCTGGTTGATAAGGACGGACTGCCATAACCAAATCTCAAAGATTCGATTCAGCCGCGAAGATTCAGTGTTTTGGAAAATTGTTTCGTGGATCCCGAATTCCGTTTCGACCCCTCGAGCCACAAGTTATGAGTCCTTTGTGACGTGTTCATTTGTCAGCATTAGTGCGGCTCTGGGGTCGTGCAGTTGGCAACCTGTCTTCAGTCAATAATTCTAATTCAGTAGTCATACTAAGTTATCACTCGTATAGTGAGGAACCCTCCGCGTGCTGAGTGCTACTCAACGTTCCGAGAGACGCTTTACGCGCGTAGTGACCCTCTACACACTGAGAGACTCACTACTCACTAAGGATTTAGCTGCATCACCGGATCTAAGGTAAGTACCATCGTTTAAAGCCCCATTAATAGTCTTCACAAAAGGAGTTTACGTGAATTAGCGGTACAACTCAAGCGATTGTTTGAAGCCATTCATAACAATCATCGGCTCGAGATTCTGTATAAGCTGTTTAACTCGGTGAAAACTGTATCTTTTAAAGCATTGTGTTACGGTCTAGTTGAAGCGTCCCCGTTGTGGTGTGGAATATATATATTTAATGTATATATTATAATTTAGCTACGTAAGGCAGCTTGTTGACTTTTTAGGAGCCACGACGTCACAGTTGCTGGATGGGCAACTCGTCCTCAGGCCAGGCTGGTTAAGGAAGCGGTCGTCCCCCAAGATATATTTATTAAGTTTAACATACTGCCTATTAAAAATGGTTTCTTCTCATATTTAAGTTAATATTATAATACGGTAAATTTATGTGTATAGTTGCGTAGGTTAGGTTAGGTGTTAAGGTTCTGTTGACGATTATTTACGTTAGAAAAACGTGGATGAAGCATTTACAGAGTTGCGATTTGAGCAAAGGTCGTCAGCAAAGCACTGCTCGAGACGTGTTCGAACGTCATCAGTTGTGAGTCGTGTGTAAACCATTTTTCATTTTATAAATATTAATACTACTAATATTTATGGGCCGTACAAAGTACTCATCAAGTTTTTCTTTATCAACCCATCTCAATATCTACCTCTATATCTATAAAGCTACCTCTATACTTCTATATCTATCTCTATATTTCTATATGAACCGATTGTTAAGAAAAGCTATATTTTTAATACAATATTCCCATATCAGTGCCTATTGAGTATTTGTGTGTGCACTGATGTGTATTGACTACCACCCTGTTATAAATGATTAGGTGAAGCATTAGTGAGATTGGAAGGATTGTTCCTGAATAAATTATTGATTTGTATAAGCAATATTTTTGGGTTTACATGCTGGACATTGCTAGCGGACTACCTGTACGAAATTGTTAGAGGGTTACCTGTAGGACACGGGGATAGCTACTTTCTAGATCCTTTATGAGCTGTATCTTTCACTAATTGAAGAGATGGAGAGAGAGGGAAGGCCGGTGTGTGTGTGTGTGTGTGTGTGTGTGTGTGTGTGTGTGTGTGTGTGTGTGTGTGTGTGTGCGTGCCCGTAGTAATTCAATGGAATGACATTATGAGGAGAAGGCGCTAAGCCAATTCGACTATGTAGCACTTAAAAGGGAAATGAGGACAAGGAGCTGGGATATGAGGCAGGAGTGAAGGAAAGCGATGCCTATAACCAACGTGGACCATTGGGGATAGAACGCCGACCCAGCAAGAAGCGAATCCGTCGCTCTACTAACTAGTCTAAGTGGATGGAGTATTTAGTGAAATGTACTGACCGTGACGTTAAGGCGATGAACACACATTCTGTTCTTCCAAATGAGTGTAGTGAGGAGATGACTCTGTACAACGAAGGAAGGCCACAGAAGAGAACAGAAATCAATACAAAGACGAATGAACATCTTGGTATTGTTAGTTCCCATAAGAGGCAAATATCACCTTAAAGTTCTACAGTCTACACTAAGAACATGAAAGGGACAATGCAGGTATGCTTCCCGAGAGTTGACATCAGACGTGGAAATAAACTCATTATTTCCACGAGGAGGAAGTGATGTAGGGAAATGTAGGAATGAGGTATTTGTATTTTTAAGACGGTGATTGAATTAATTAGGACCAAGGGAGGGGGATGCCAATCACATGCGGCGTTCTAGTTAGAAGATGAATTTAGAAGATGAGATTGCAATGAAATGCTTTTTTTGAATATTTGTATCAATCAGTGACTAGAAACGTGTTTTAAATCAAACGTATCGGAAGTGTCGGATTATCAGCTCACCTGAGGCCAGGGTTCATTAGGATAATGATATTCATAATAATGCCTCAAGCTAGGAGCTGCAATCCTACATCAGCTTATCTGAAGCCTGAGCCTAGGAACACCTTTATTTAATGAGCTTATTATTTGTTTCCTTTTGGGATAAATTTTATTTTGTACTAAGTTATAATTGTGTAATTAATAGAATGAAAAAAGGAGTCAACTGTGTACCTTCATATGGCTGAGCTCTCTCTCTCTCTCTCTCTCTCTCTCTCTCTCTCTCTCTCTCTCTCTCTCTCTCTCTCTCTCTCTCTCTCTCTCTCTCTCTCTCTCTCTCTCTCTCCCTTCCTCTCTTTTTTTAAACGAAGTTTAGGGTTCATTATGAATAGTGCTGATGATGTTCCTAATGAAACCGCAAGATAAGAGCTGTTATCTCTTCTCATCTCAAGCCTGACCCTAGAAGCTCATTTATTTGATGAGCTTATTATTATCCCTCTTTCTCTCCTCTCTCTCTCCTTCGCGTTGGTAATAAGTGGCATAAACTCCCTCTGAACTGTTTTCCTCCTCCCTCTCTGCCTGGCGTTGTGACTGCGAGACATTAATTCCCTGACGATGGGCTTCCTTCCTTCCTGTTGCGATACATACACTCCTGCTACACAGTCTCCCTTTCTCGCGTCGTCAACGTGAGGCATAAACTCTCTTAAAATGTTGCCGTGTGAAGGGCTGCTCTCTCGACATCGTTTCTGTTTCACTCTCTCTTGCTACTCTCTCTCTCTCTCTCTCTCTCTCTCTCTCTCTCTCTCTCTCTCTCTCTCTCTCTCTCTCTCTCTCTCTCTCTCTCTCTCTCTCTCTCTCCTTATCATTCCATCCCTCACTTCATCTTTCTCTTTTGCCGCGCTCTCCATCTATTCTTCTCTAATTCCCTTCCTCCTGGTCCCCTCGCTCGCTAACTCCCTCTCTCTCTCCCTCTATCCTCGCTCGCTAACTCCTTCCCCCCCCCTCCACCTCCTTGTGTCATCACCAGGAGACATAAACCCCTTCAAGACGGCCTTCAAGCTAGTGGTAATTATTTGCGTTATTACGACCCAGAAATTCATTTACGCCCCTACCAAGTCCTCCCTGGTGCTGGCACCGCGCGAGTCAACCATTAACCCGCAATTCTTTTTTCGGTTATTTTTCTCGCTATTTTAATTGAGCGAGAAAGAGACAGAACGAGAGACAGGCAACAGCTAGGTGTGTTCCGAGCATTACCTGCCGTCTGCCAGTTAATGGAAGGTAATTGACGCCGGTTAAATAGGCTTTTCCCTTCAATTACCCCCGAGTCCGGGGTTTTATTTAGGTCGTTATTCCAGCTAACTTGGCGATGCGCTCTTGTTTTTCCTCAAGGATCTGATCGTTATAGACCAGGGTTCATGACCTTATTCTGTTCTATTTTTTATTGTTTTTTATTTTATCCCTTTTGGCTTTTCGGGGAGGGCGAACTGAGGTGCAGAAAGTGCCAGGCCAGTACCCTACCACTGTACCACAGAACCTATCAAAATAAAATGGAAAGAGATGGCGGCTATCTGCTTCTTTTTCCACCCCCCTCTTTTCAGACCTGGGGCCGCAGTGGTATCCTGCTGTGTTCCGTCCCCGTGGCACAGATCATAATCCAAGGCTATTCTGGCTTGCAGTCTATATGATTTGTGGCATAGGAACGAAAAATAAGTGACTACTTCTGCGCCATGAAAAAGGTCTTTGTTATCCGACATGATCGCACACGGTGATTAAAAAAAGGGTATTTCTAACATTTTCATTTAATACTATCGCTTTGTGCACTGTGTGATGTGGGAGGTGTGGGCGTGGTACGTCGCTCCTCCACTCGTGTGGGAGGTGTGGGTGTGGTACGTCGCTCCTCCACTCGTGTGGGAGGTGTGGGTATGGTACGTCGCTCCTCCACTCGTGTGGGAGGTGTGGGCGTGGTACATCGCTCCTCCACTCGTGTGGGAGGGGTGGGCGTGGTACGTCGCTCCTCCACTCGTGTGGGAGGTGTGGGTGTGGTACGTCGCTCCTCCACTCGTGTGGGAGGTGCGGGTGTGGTACGTCGCTCCTCCACTCGTGTGGGAGGGGTGGGCGTGGTCCATCTGAGGGCGGCGTCTACCCCCCATCCCCAGCCTCAGAACAGGCGGGGTCGTTCTCAGGAGCAGAGGTAATGAAGAGTTGGCGAGATGTTGCGAGCAGTTGACTCGCTCTGAGGATGGTCGAGAGGGACCTCCTGAAGGAGGAGAGGCAGGATGCTACTCTTCCTCCTCCTCCTCTTCCTTCTCCTGCTGCTGCTACCTTCTTTTTCCTTCGCCCAATCTCCTTCTCGTATATTTCTTCCGTCCTCTCAGCTTAATATGCTTCTCCTTCTCTGTCCTTTTTTGTTCTGTCTCCTTCTGTTCCTTCCTCATCCTTTGTCTCTTTAACATGTTTCTGTTGCTGTTGCTGTTGATGCAGTTGCTGCTTCTATTGTTGTTGTAACAGTTGCTGCTGTTTGTACAGCTGCTGTTGCTGCTCTTCAGTTCCTGATCCTGTTGCTATTGTTTCTGTGACTCCAGTTCTGGATTCGTATTTGCCAGCTGCTGGTGTCCCTGCAGCTGCTGTAGCAGTTGTTCCTGCAGCTGCTGTAGCAGTTGTTCATGCAGCTGTTGAAGCAGTTGTTCCTGCAGCTGTTCTTCCTATGGCTGTTGTTCCTGAAAGAATTATTATTGAAAGGGATACTCTTCTCTCTCTCTCTCTCTCTCTTGTTACTTTTCCTTACTTTTCTGTTGCTTCTGCTCCCATTATTGTAGCTATTATTGCAGCTGCTGCTGCTGTTCCTGCTGTTGTTGCTTTATTTGATGTAGTTGCTTCTGTTTCCGTGCCTGCTGCTCTTGTTGCTGTACTTGCTGTTGAGTGTGTCGTTGCAATTCAAGGAGGAAAACAGCAACTCTCACCAATTTGTAAGAAATAAAACTTGATATTCATCTATCCGATCAGTCAATTTTGGCTCAGTTTCCAAGCAAATGAGATGTAGCAGGTGTCCCACGCAAGCAATTGCAAACAACTGCAACTCAATCTTGCCTTTCTCGTCGGCTGTTGAGTGGTTTGTGTGTGTGTGTGTGTGTGTGTGTGTGTGTGTGTGTGTTTGTGTGTGTGTGTGTGTGTTTGTGTGTGTGTGTGTGTGTGTGTGTGTTAACACATTCCGTTGTTTCTAATTTGATTTGCTTGTTAAACTAATTGTTTTTCGCTTTGATTTTTAGTTGAAGGTTTTTATTTCAGGAGCTGGAAACGTGGGATTTGTTGATGAGCTGAAAATGTTATCCACGAGTTAGTTAGATTTTACAAGTGTGTTTTGGTTCCAAATGTTGTTTCTGATACTTAATTCTCTCTCTCTCTCTCTCTCTCTCTCTCTCTTTCACGTATACTGTTAGTTGATCCATTTCGTCCCTCCATTCAATTCCAATCTCTCACTCACTCTCTCTCTCCACTGCAAAATGAGGCTACTTCTGCCCCCCACCCCCCTCTCTCTCTCTACCCTCGGGGATACCACTTAGGAATGCAGGCCGCCGCAAATCAGCTTTCCGGCTATGAAACGGTTAGTTATCCGGTTTATGCGTATTCATCAGCTGCCTCGTGACTTCCTCTGCACCGACCGACTCGTCCATGTTAGATTCATTCACCCAAGATTTGAGCTGGGAATTAGATTCTTGCCGGCAGTGTCCTTCGGTTGGATATTCTGGGGAGGCAAGTTGCTTATACACCAGGGTACACACACACACCTGCATGCAGATTATACGTGGGTGTGTATTATATTATGTATGAATCTAAATACATATACAAACAAGCAGGGGCGGTTCGTTTCATGTGTTTTCTTTTCAATAGATTGCATTCGCGAGCGTGTGTTGATATGCAAATGCTGGCTAACTTTATGGCTGTTGCCAGATGTATTCTTTAGCGTGAGTTTTGAGGCATGATGGTGAGTCCGGCTATCGCTTGAGACTGGCAGCGTTGTTAGTGTCTCAGTGCCCGACGATACCCACTAACGGAGGTTATCTTGAGGTTATCTTGAGATGATTTCGGGGCTTTTTAGTGTCCCCGCGGCCCGGTCCTCGACCAGGCCTCCACCCCCAGGAAGCAGCCCGTGACACCTGACCAACACCCAGGTACCTATTTTACTGCTAGGTAACAGGGGCATAGGGTGAAAGAAACTCTGCCCAATGTTTCTAGCCGGCGCCTGGGATCGAACCCAGGACCACAGGATCACAAGTCCAGTGTGCTGTCCGCTCGGCCGACCGGTTCCGCTGAAGTAATGACAGGCTGAAGTAATGACATGTTTTAATGATTTGGTTTAAACAGGGTTTCGTGGTACATCGCAACTGGTCTATAAATAATACAAGTTTTAAATTAGGGTTGAGCAATTTTCCGAGGTACGACTCTTCTCTAAAGTCGTAAAAAAATAATAATATCGACAACAAAATTATATTTTGTTATTGAACCTTGTTTTAACAATTAGTCTGCGGAAGCCTTTTCTGAAAACTTACTTTATCAATAAGGTTTGATGGAGATAGAGGGCAAAAATAAGCTTCGTCTGAGGCTCTGTGTAGCTATGAGCCTCGATGAAGGGCTAGGATAAAAATAAGTATTGTAGGAGGCTTAGCCACAACTCAAGAGAAATGGTTAAGAGCCGGATCCCAGGAGCTGACTCTCAGTCACGGAATTCATAGGTGAGTAGAGTTAGATATATTCAATTTCATAATGCTCTTTCTTTCTTTTCCTTAACAATATTAAAACATTCACAAATATTATACCTAAACATTCATACATATAGCACTCATATAAACATAACAGCCAAACATACGTACACAAACAACACCCAAACATACGTTCACAAACAACACCTAAATATACACAAACAACACCCAAACATACGTTCACAAACAACACCTAAATATACACAAACAACACCCAAACATACATACACAAACAACGCCCAGCCAAACATACGTACACAAACAACATCCAAACATACATACACAAACAACGCCTAAAGATACATACACAAACAACACCCACCCAAACATGCGTACACAAACAACACCCAAACATACGTACACAAACAACACCCAAACATACATACACAAACAACACCCAAACATACGTTCACAAACAACATCCAAACATACATACACAAACAACACCTAAAGATACATACGCAAACAATACCCACCCAAACATGCGTTCACAAACAACACCCAAACATGCGTTCACAAACAACACCCAAACATACGTTCACAAGCAACACCCAAACATACATACACAAACAAAACACAAACACACCCTCACAACATAGCACCTCACCCAAACACCTGACAACATTCGACCTTTCCCCCACTAAGAAAGCAATATGTCACCCCCAGACACCCGTCTTGTATATCCGAAGTCGTCAATTCTTAACATCCAGTTCTCCAGATCTCTTGCGCGCTTCCCTGTAAGATCAAGGCATTTCAAACAAGAAAAACTGAGTGATATATGTGTCTGTATTTGTGTATGTGTGTGTGTTTACTGTTTGTAACTGCAAGATCGAGCTGTTAGCTCTTGGACCCCGCCTTTCTAGCCATCATTTCTCTAATCACTGACGCCGGACCTAATTTTCTTTGATATGTACTACATATATTTATCTCACACATACACACACAGTTTGAAAAGTAGATATGATAGAGCCCAATTGGTTCAGGAATCTGTACACCTGTTGATTGACAGTTGAGAGGCGGGACCAAAGAGCCGAAGCTCAACCTCCACAAGCACAATTAAGTACATAGACACACACACACACACACACACATCCCCAGGATGCAGCCCGCATCAGCTATCTTACTCCCGCATACCTATTTACTGCTAGGTGAACAGAACATCAGGTGAATGGAACTCTGTCCGTTTATTTCTGCCAAGGCCGGGAATCGAACCCGGGCTCGTTGGACTATGACTCCCAAGTGCTGTCTACACAGCCTCGAGAACTATGTGTGTATGTGCGTGTATGCGTGTGGGTGTGTGTGTGTGTGTGCGTGTGTGCTCGTGAAATTATACTTGCAGGGGTTGAACTTCAGCTCTCTGGTCCCGGTCATCAACTTTCAATCAGCTGATGTAAAGGTTCCCGTGCTATTACTATTATTATATTATATCTTCAGCGTTCCCGAAGTCACTAAATTGATGTACTAAATTGCCCGAATCTAACCTAATCGAGGGGCCAAGAATAAAAAAACGAGACATCACTTCAATTTTGCGAGTCGCTACGATTTTCAGTACAGCAGTTTTTGGCCTTTGAGGATTTATATTCGAAATGTGAAGTACTATTCAAGCGGACGGGTTTGTAATCTGCATTTGAAGCATTAAAATTAATCTTCCTCCACCACCTTACTTCTTAGTGGGTTCCATTTGTTCATTAGTACTCGCTCATTATAAGTACCACTTTTATAAATGCTCATAAGTGCTCACTTATAAGTACAACACCGAACTCATTATTTATAAGTACTCTGTGGCTCATATAGTTTCCACCTGTGTTCCATGCTTCATGGAACACACCCATGTTAAACTAGACTTTCCATGTTCTCCGTTTCAATTGTCTTGAGAATTTTGGCAGAGGTAAGAATGTCCCCCAGTGAGATTTCCAGTGTAAGGTGAGGTTTCAATCCTGTAGTTTTTTCTCGTAACTCATACCTCTTAGCTCCGGTGCTAGTCTAAACTTTCCCCAACTTTGCTTGTGTTTGACTAGATAAGGGCTGCACGAGGACCGCACATATTCCAGTCTGAAATATAGATACGGAAGGTCTTAAATAATTCTTGCTCAGATTTTTAAAGGCAGTTCTTGTCTCGGTCAACACAACATATGTCACTGATGATGTCTATTTGATGTGAGTTTTGAGAGAAAGAGTGGATCGGTTTAAAATCTCAGATCTTTCTGTCTGTCTGTCTAATGTTTTAACAATTTCATTTCGCATTTGGTACATTGTGTCTGGTCCTCTGACTAGACACGATTTCTTTCCACTTACAGTACTTAAGAAGTGAAAGCATGTAATTATCTGTTAAAAGTTGGGAAAGTCTCGCAAAGATGCAAGAAAAAGTTCTCTGAATCAATGAAGCGCGTTCTGTGTAGTTGGACCAGGTTATCCGCCGTCCGCTGAGTGACCAAGCATTAATGCTGGTTTTTAAATACTAGAATACTTATTGCAATTGGTGTACACGATAACGAGGTGTGTTGGGAGGATATTGAGACCTCAGCATCTGTTTCGTTTTCCGCCTGACGCTTCTTTGGTCTCCTGCATTGGTTGCGCCGTGAAACGAGGTGCTTCCATATGAGTTTTTGTAAAGTTTTCAGGTTTATGAAAAATATCAGGTTGATTTATATAGAATTCACAAATATTGGCGGAAACGTTGGAGGGCCATTAGACCTAGGTTAGCCATTTACGGACTGGACCTGCGAGGTTGGAACATTCTTGATAGGAGGGGGGGGCCTATTTGTGATAGTGTGGACCTCAGTTGAGCTAGATCCTTGTGGCATACTGTTATAGTGGTTGACGCACCGGGTGTGTAGATATTGACACTACTTACCTGAAAAATCACACAGTATACCATGACAAAGAGCAACAACAAAGCTTGCCTCTGAATTCAGAGGAATGAACTACAGTCAAAGGCAAAGATAACCTAGCCCCGCCACGCCAGAACAAACGAACGAGGAGGAAGACATAACAGCATGCAATTTTTTTTTAAGAGGAATCGATATTGTTAACAAAAAACGATGAATAGGAAGAAAAAGTTAACAGAACGAGGAATCGATTGACGAAGGAACTGAACGACAGTTGTGGGGGATTAATAGAAAATAAGTTTAGGAGACTGGACGCAATGCCGTCGATTTTAATATGATTGCATTAAACTACAGATGGCTGGAAGTAATTAGCTTAGAAGT